AAGTAATTTACTTTATACAACTTTAGGATAAACATAAGAAATACAAAGAAAAGATTTAAACTCACCTAGAAACTGAAATGTCCATCAATGAAACAAGTCAAATTTTTTTAAAATTGGATGTCAGTCAGGGCGTTTGGTGAATTAAAACCTCAAAAACACCTTTTATATTTATTTGCACTGAGTTGGCAGGACATAGTGATATAAAACCAATTGATTATTAAAAACGAAACAGTGAACTATAAGAAGGTGTAATTTTTGTTTAAGTGAATTTCTCTGGTATTTCATCCACTGAAGTTTTCAACTTGGAAATTATTTTGGTGAAAAATAACATCAAATTTTATTTTAATCCCACCAAATTGACCTGTGTCTTTTAAGATGGGACTATTTTGATATGCATAGGAACACACAACTCCGAACGCAACAAGTTTCAAAACAAAAACATAAAATTCTCCGATTTTAAAAATGTGGAAAAAGCAGCAGCAGTCACTGAAACCTGACTTCATTTAAAGAGACCTGGAATAAAACCTAATTATCGCACAACAGAAAGAATTGTATATTTATAAAGAGAAAACATTAAATTTCCTTTACATGCTAATTTTATCAAGGTAACTGTAAAAATACTCAAGATATTGCCAGTTCAACTTGAAGGAAATTTCACTCTTTTGACCCATTTTCGCACAGTAAACTAAGCTGCATTGGGATACCTATATTAATACCTTATACTGTGTTCTGTTCTGTTTTTTTGTTTAAAATCATTTTAAAAAAAAGAGAACTGGGAATTTGGTAATAAGATTTAGATAAGAACATTGGAGCAGTTCTATTATTTTTTATATTTATTTTAAGATCAAACTTATAAAAAGAAATTATTTTACTTTTTGACCTTTTGGGGGTTTGTTTGCAAGACAATGAGGTGAACACATTACAAATGATCACTGCTGTTCTACTGAATATTATATATATATATATATATATATATATATATAAAATCAAGAAAGATTGTGGGAAATTTGTTTAAACTCTGTAGCTAAATAGTATAGCACGTCCAGCCAAATGACAGTCCCGTGTAGGATACAGATTTGATTCCTGTCAGAGGACATTTTCTACAAAATTTCTTGGACATTCAGGTCAGTAAATGTAATTAATACTGTTTATTATAAACAGACCATTTATTTAAATAATTGTATTTAGAAAAATATATAAACAGAAAAAAAAAATATGTGTGTGTGTGTGTGTGTTTTCTGTTTTATACATATTTTGAAAATTTGCATCGCAATTTATTACATACTTTATATAGGGCCATGAAAAAGATTATTCAATTTTTATACAAAAACATGAAATAGGGTGAAAGTAATACTTCAAATATGGAAAAATAATAAAGGTGTATTCTAATTTTTAAAAAGAATATTTGTTTAACAATCAGTTTAGTCAGTGTTTTTGCATCAATAATTTACCAGGCCTTGTATTTGGAAAAATCTATTGGACTTGAGTAAAAAATAGAACAATTATTCAAATTAAAATAAAGTTCAGTTAGTATTTTCATCAAAATGAGTGACAAAATAAACAGTCTTGAATTATTGATTTTTTTTTTTTCAAGGACAATTTTTCCTCATAAACAGCAGAGGTAGAAGAAATATGTCCATTGCAAGATTATAATGCATTTGAACATTAGTTTTATCAGATTAATATAAGAATTTAAAATCCCTCATTAGCTTAAAACAGAATATTGTTAGTAAAAATTTCTCAGAGCAATATTACATTTTTGTTTTTTAAAATCTCTTGTTCAGATAAAATATTATCAACCATTATTGCTAATTTTAACAAGTATTTACTTTCAATGGAAATTTTATTTTATTTCATCTTTATGCAAGCTACTAGTCTATGTCAATGCTGTATACTGCAAATTAAAAATAAAGAAGTTTGGTGAGATTCAACTTCATAGTAAAGTTAATAATGATGGTTGTTAATGCTTCAGCTAATACTACAAGTGTAAAAACAAATATGGTAGCAAGATTGTGGAATGGATCGATTTAATTAGATTTAATTTGTAATCTATAAGGTACTCCTAGGTCAGTTGGTTATAGAAGCTGGTGTGTTCAATCAGGCTTGTCTGTAGTAAAAGATGCATGAATTTTAATCTCACCAAGAACCTGTCATTATTTTTGATCCACACTTTACTGACCCAGAATGATGATGACCTGATTAAAGGTAGGATAAAAAGCAGCTCAAAAAAATTATGAAAGTAAACACTTGTCAAAATTAATGCTTTCCTCCTCCACCCGTTTTAAAAAAAAAAAAGCAATCTTGTCAAATTTGTGTTTGAAAAAAAAAAAAAAAAAAAAAAAGAACTTTAACAAATGTTTTTTTTTGGGGGGGGGAGATAATAATAAAAGTCTTTAACTCATAGCTTGTGGGGTGGAGAAGAGGTAGATTAATACCTTTTTGCAAGGTTATTTGTGTGTATGTGTATATAATGAACTCAACTGGAATTGGAACTCTGCTCTCAGATTAATATTTAAGCTTATCTTTTAAAAAGTTCAATGTTAATTCTTCTGCCACCAATTAATTTAAAGACAATTTGATGTATGTAGGTCCTTACTTTCTGTACAAACAATTATTTTTATTTCATGGGTGACTTTTGCTGGATTTTGCAATTAATTTCAACTACTCCCAAATCTATTTCCAGATTATAAAAATTATTGTACAAAAAAAATTGCAAAAATTCATGTAAAATATTACCAAAAACAATCGCAGTAATGAAAACTTGGGAATACAAAATTTCAGAATTGCAGGTCTGGATTCGGCTTGGAATATTTTTAATTTGCTCACAGATTTGGCCTGATTCCAAAATGGGTCGATATGTTGGGCTACGGTCTCTACGAGTAAAGTTGAAAAAGTCATTCACATTTATTATATAGATTACTATTACTACTACTACTACTAATAATAATAATAAAAAAAAGTATATGACTTAAATTGATTTGCTGTGAGCATTATGTGAAAAGAACTGAATATGATTGGTTCTTTATGATACCTTCCATGATGTCTTGTTCAATTATCATTTTGCTATAACTGAATAGTCTTGTATCAAGCTATTATCCATTACATCACCCACAGATTTAAGTTTACAGCTCATGGTATTCCCAAGTGGACACCAGACTAGTTGTTGACCAGATTTGACATTGTTTAATTTTTTTTAATTTCAGCAAATAAAAATAATTGTTTGTACAGAAAGTAAGAAGAATTATCACTGAACTTTTAAAAGGTATGTTTAAATATTAATGCAATACCTAAATGCAGCAATCAATTTTGAGTCCTACTGTAGTTTATTGTTGCGCATCACATCTACTCCCCACAAATTATTGTGATGAAGGCCCAATAAAGAGCCCTCCACAGGAGCTAGCTTAAATGCTACCCTATCGAGCGGCTTTTAAGCTAGTATAAAATAAAACTTTTTTTTTTTTAATACCTTTGCTGTAACATCTGCTAAAGTGGTTTTTAATTATTTCGTTACATTGAATTTATTATTTTAATTGTTTTCCTGTCTAGTAAATGATATTCATTACTGATTTCATAGCAATAACTGAGAAAGATCTAAAAAGTGCATGAAGTCTTTAGGCAGTAATATCAAATTATTTTCTCACATTGTCAAATAAGTTTGATGCAATGACTTGTCTTCAAAATTCATCAGGGATTTAATCTAATATAGAAACAAATGTGAAATAAATTTCATAATTCCTTATGAAATCATTTTCCTCCAACTGTTTTTCGACCATATGCTTCTGTCCATTGCTGATATTATCTAAAAGATAAGTTTAAGACATGACGTGATCTTAGCATGAGTTAGTCCATTCAGTTGAACTTTTGTAGCAGTTTAGTTTGCCCAAATGCATTCTAAATAAATTAAACATTTATTTGGTTTAATAAATTAATCCCATCATTCATATTTTGCTAATTGAGTTCAAAATAGGTATTTTTTTTTTATTATCCAATCTACATAAATCTGTGATGCCATCTCAGCTTCAAATTTCAAAATTAGAATGTTCAAGCATTGTATGTAAGGATAAATGTCTAATTAAAATTTACAAGCCAAGTTGGTCACTATGAGTAAAGAGCCACTTTTGCCTTTGTTGTAAATACTCCCCCTCCAAACCTGGCATTTGCGCTAAGTATTATATTCAAGTCCTGCTCTAGTTGAACAGGTTGGTTTAGTACCGAGTAGAAACAAATAAAGATAAATGCAAATATATGTGAGAATCAATTAGAAAAAAAAAAAAAAAAAGGAATTTTTTTTTTTTTAGTGGGGGATGGGGAGGAGTATATACATTTAAAGAAATATTCAAACATGATCAATAACAGTGGTTAAAAAAGGTTTTTCTTTTTTTTTCAGAGCTTAAGCCATTAGTGATGAATATTGCTTTATTTTTCCTTTTTGATTGCCAAAAACTTACATTAAATATAACAAATTTTTTTTAAAAAATTGAGTTTTTTCTTGCTTTTTTTTACAAAATTCAATTCACAAGTGAGATAAGCGTGTGTTTGCATCTATGGATCATTGCATTAATGGGTTTGAGATTGAAGTAAGTGAATTTATCAAGTGTGTGTTTTTGTCCAGTTCTGAGGACAACTTATCGTTAGCCTCAACACTCTAAAACAAAAGTTACCCGTTGAGGTTATTATTACCACGATGATATGCAGATTTTACAAGCCCATTAATGTACTGACTGTAGTACATTTGAAGAGTGAAACACTTGCCCACAGTTTAGATGTCCAAACCTGCTGGTTAGAAACAATGTTTCAACCAGAACTATGCTATCCACTCTTGAAGCATTGTTCCCCCTTCTCCCTACAAAAGGGGCCATCCTTGGAACAGCTACATTAAGTTCAAAGTGGGAGGGATCGCAAGAAATGAAAAAGATTTCAAGCAGTAATAATTAAGAGAACAGCAGTAATTATTCTGGTTGTATTTTGGGAGTTCACATTCGTTCGAGCTTTGCCTGAACAGATCTGAAACAATTAACCAAATGGCAGACATCAGGGTCTGTGCTGCTGATGGCCTGCAACTCTACTTGGTAACCAGACACAGCATCAAGGCAGTAAGTAGAAAATTGCCGTCTGAAAGATAAAAATAGATAGAAGACTTTTTTTCTTTTTAAGAAAAGTGAAAAGAAAAATATTAAAAACAGACAATTATGTAAAAAAGCAAAAGCAATATGTATAAGTTATATTCCAGACAGCCCTGCAATACAGCCATCACTAACCCAAAAAATGAAAACTAACCAATTATCACTGGTGAAAAGGCATAGCCAATAATAGTTGATATTGTAGAAAAAGTGTTTTATTAATGGAAATGTGCTGTCTAATGGTGTTATGCTCACTGTATTTGGTTGTATTGATTGATTTGTTTTCTACAGCTTAACCCTTTTCAGGTTATTTAAAGCCAGAAAATATTTTTAGATTTAAGAATTTTTTTTTGCAGATAACTATTTAATGATACAAGCCCTACAAATTAACACATAACTGAAGATTGAAGAGGTGAACTCATACCTTTCCCAAGGGTATTTGTGCATCAGTGAATATAACAAACCCAACTGGAATTGGAACTCAGCTCTCAGATTAACAATTCTGAGCCCTCATCCATTACACCACTCATACACCCAAGCTTACAGCACCTGGTATTCCCAAACAGGTCACCCATCTAGGTACTAACCAGGCTCGATATTGCTTAACTTTGGTGATCATACAGGAACTAGTGTTTCAATGATATGTGGCCATAAGCCTGTATTTGTTAATAGTGTCCATAGAATTAAATAGATGCTGTTGCTATTGGAGAATCCTCCACACATTATATTCTAAAGAATGTTCTTTTGTTTGCTCTTTTGAAATAGATTCACTGGACAGCACCCCTACCCTTTTGTATTTGATTTCTTTAAGTCAATTAACAATGATTGATTGAAGTGATCAGGAATATAATATGCATTTATATATCAGTTTTATCTTTTTATGCATGAGAAAGGAAGTTGTTCTAATTTTAACCTTACATTTAACATGTATGTAAGAAAACAAATATTTACCTAATTCATCAAATTACTATCCGATTACCTATTTATTAAATCAGCTGCAATGTATTTCATTAAGGCTGTGAACTTTTATAATGTCTCTCTATACAATGAATGCCAATAGCAGATGAATAACAGGGAGGAAAAAACTAGACTCAGTGTAGCAGAACACGGAGAAGAAATTTAGGAGAGAACGAAGAAACTTCTTACCGTTCTGATAATGCAATCAAACTTGGTGTACTGGTCAGTTTGTCAATAAGATGAAAAAGGACTGTGAGAATGTGAAGTGGTCTATGGTATTTGTGCCAGCATGGATCCTAAATGAGAAACAATCATTTAAAAGATTGAGAATAATAATAATAAAAAAAAATCTCAAAACATCAAATGTTAAAGTTAATTACTGACTTACTCTGAATTTGAATATGGAATCATAAATCTGTAATAATTTTGTTGGTTTTACTCCAACGTCAAGAAGTGTATTGAACACCCAAGTGGTGGAAAGATTATGTTGACAGCTGCACTGTTCAAGATATTTGGTGATAAAGGCTGGAACAAAAAGAATTATTTTTATAGCAATAGGCAAGACTATGGTCCATTCTATAATACATGAAGTTGATTAGAAAATACGAAAGACATGTATTGTTGTTCAAGGAAAGAGACTTACCAACAGGGAAGTAACGTTCAGCCGAGATATACTGCTTTCCAATTGGCAACAGCTGACTGGAAATATTGATTGGGTCAATCACACTGGAAATATTTCGGGCGTTATTCACAGCTAAAAAGTAAAACCAATCAAATTCATACTTTACCAATTACAATTAAATTTCCTTTTTCTACTAATGGATATTTTTTTTTATAATTATGAGTAAAATTATAGATAGCTAAATTTTATGGATTTTAATTACACTTTAGAAAGCTGAAACTTTTTTAAAAAAATCAAATATTGGAGAAGTACAGTAATAAAAACAGATACCAAACTGAATAAAAAAAAATTGATACCATTTGACTCATGCCACTACAGTATAATCAATGGTTCATAAAACAAAATTTAACAAAATTAAACTAAAATACCTAAATTTACAAATAAAGTTTATTTGAAAAGGTTATTCTGTCTATGCATTAGTTTTGGAAAAAAGAAGCCCTTAACCTTTTCAAGATTGAACTTAGAATTTGATCTGTAGTTAGATTTGTAAATTGTTGCGCCAGCAGTTAATAGTAAAATTGAATGTTCATTCATATAATAAAATAATTTCCCAGGTTACTGACCTGTATCAATGATACTTTGCCAAAGGTTTTCAATGAGAGCAGGATCAAAGACTCCAGCGGAATGGACAATGGCCAGTTTGCACTCATGAAGATTATAAGGCTCAGCAAATTCACCATATAACTAGAGTTTAAAAAAAAAAAAGTCATTATCATGAAAATACCAGTTTATATTACAATGTAATCTTTTAAAGAAAATATCAACTTTAGTTTTGACCAAGAAACTCTTGAGAGAGAGAGACAGAGATACAATTATTGGAAAGCTTGTCTCTTCAGTTTCAAGAATTAACTGAAACAGTTGGTTGAGTTCCTTAACAGATCTATCAAGTTATATTGAGAATCAGAAGAGGCAATTTTGTGTTTGTACTGGCATGATTGTTTTTCATAGCAAAAACATTTAATATATAAAAGGTTTTCTCTACTATAATAAATAATTTAGCCAAGCACCAATAAAATTTTATCTCACACTTTGAAATCTTTCACTTATATAATTTTCAAACTATAAGTAATAATAAAAATAAAGTTGAAAATAAGATTTAAAAAATATTTATTGTGCTAATTGCTGAAAAACCATTATGTAAGGTATATAAATATGGAACTGACCTAAACTGTAATGAGATTCATTAAGATATTAAAGTAATTGTACATAAAAGAAAAGTAAAAAAAAAAAAAAAAAAAAAACCTACAGCAGAAATATCTAAAAGGTCAGAATTGAGAGCTTGTAGGACGTCCCGTGAATTTGCAATGTTTCCTGAATTGCTACTTAGTTTGTTGTACACCATCATTTGTAACTTAGCCACCTGCAATAAAAAAAAAAACACATCAACTTTAGATATCTAAAAAAATGAGTCATTTCAATGAGAGACACTCATGCAATACAACCAAATGAATTCTCTATGAATTGGCACATTAAACTGGAGAGACATCAAAAAGAAAATTGAAGATTTCTGAAAAGTTTCTGTCTTTACCAACATTTTGATCTGCCAATTATACTCAACTATAAACATATCAATAATCTGGATGGTTTTTTTAATGCTGGTAACACTTTAGAGATTGGGAAATAATAAGCAAAATAATGGATTATTTGCATGAAACAAATGACTTAATCAAAAGCAATGGAGAATGCACAAAAAAGCAGGAAATTAAACAACCTGGCATCTCTGTCTTTTCAATAGCAATGGAATTTTCCAAAGGGAGCATGACTTTAGATTGTTCCTATGAATTTCATTGCTTATTGTTCATTTAGTGACACAGATTCCTGATGAAAGAAAATCATCCTGCAACTCTTGATGATTGGATTTTGTTTAATTTGACAGCATTAATTTCCTTGAAGATCTTAAAGAAATCTTCCATGGAGCACCTGTTCTTTGGTTTTCAACAGTTTTGAGTTTTTTGAATGAATTAATGGTAGTAAAATAGAATATCCAGGTTGTCAGACATTTTCCCGTAACTTTTACCTTCTTTCCAGAGCTTAAAAATCAGTTCTTTTTATGAATTTGTCAATTCTTTACCTCTTGAGATGATGATAACCATCTTGCACAAATATCAATTACAGAATGTTCTGTTTATATTTTTTTAGGCTAAAAATAAGTACTGATAACATTATGGGAAGATTCTAGAATATTCCACTTGAATAATTCAGAGTATTAAAGCAATTTAAAAGTTTTAAAAACTGAAATTTGCATTGTATCAATACTTTTTTCACCCATAAAGATGGATAAATGGGATTTATTTTTATTAAATCAAAATTTTCTGTTTTCTATGCATATTTAGTTATTATATATCTGTGTACAGTTAATTATATGAAAAGTATGTTTATTCATTAGTTGGAAATACAATAAATTAAAAATTTGTGTGTGTATAAATATTTGTTTCCCCTCACTGTGTGTGTGTGTGTGTGTGTGTGTGTATATATATATATATATATAAAAAACCATAGATAGATCACACCAGTTTAAAACAATTTTTTTAAATCAAAAATAAATCTGAAAATATTACTCAAGAATAGATCTAACAATTAATAAACAGTTGTGAGAATTAATTCCCAAATGAAAATTCCTTTGTAATAAATAACAAGAACTTTCAAATAAAATTTAAGATTTAATGCATAAATATAAATAGAGTAAAAATAATTAAAAAGCTAAGTATAAAGCAAACTGCCCTGGTTATGTAAACTGTAAATACAGAGTGTTTTGTGAAAGATGTTGCTTTCATGTGAGTCATGCAGACCTAAACAATATTTTTGGACAGTGAACTGATAAAGTATGTGAAAGCCTATCTTCATGAGATTATTCAAAGAACTTGTGTACTGACCTCCATTTTTTCTTCAAGCTCATGCAAGAATTCTCCCTCTGTAGCTACACTGGTCATCAAGGTGGAACCTTTAGCACATACAATAGCACGAGACAAATACTCTACTCGTTGTGATAGGCTAAGATCAGTTCTGGAAATAAAAACATAAACAACTTTACTATCAAATTAAACAATCTAATGAACACAAAGTTAACAATCATTCCTGATACTTTGTAAACTTGGTAAACATTTAACCCTCTTTCAAAACTGAGTTTACTAGTTTTTTTTTACAATCTAAAAATCAAAAATACTTTGATTCTTGAATAATATATAAATGGAGATTCCAGAAAAAAAAATTCAGTTGGGAACAAGATGGCAAAAAACAAAAAAAATTTAATATTGACATCAAAGTGAAAATAATAACATACAATGTTCAGGTAATGCTCATAAGTAACTTTAATACAAAACTACTTGCCAGTCAATAAAAATTGATTAATTTCAGAATAGTTTTACAAGTTAAAACTACAAAAAAAATGCAGTATATTACAAATATATTCATCTAACAAGATAATGATTTGAGTACTTTAATCTAAGAATAACCTTATCCTCCATATGTTTATATACTGGTGAAGTTTTTTTTTTTTAGTACATGATCCTGCTCCATGTTTTTTCTGAAGGTGTTTCTCTTCCCTACTACTTACATTATTAGAACCTTTTAATAAAACTCACAAACTGTTTGTCAGAGTTCCTGAAATGATTTGTCTTTAACATCTCTTCTAATGCCGCCTTTTAAAACCACTATTCTCCAATGCAACAATTGCATTTCCATAAATATTCACAACATTAAACCATTACATGAGCAAAGACAAACAAGCAGAGATTGCAATTCTGACAAATGAAGCACATTTTAATAATTTTCTGATATTTTTCTTGATATTTCCCTTAACCAATTCACTTCAATAGATATTTATTTGTCTATCTGCCCTGTGCATTGACTCATATTATTAAACTTCTAAAACAAATTATATCTTATATCTTATTATCTTATTTGAACCTGTTGATTCATCCTGCTTATTAGAACCACCAAAACAATAAAAGATGAGAACCTGTGTCCAAATAGATCAATACACAATCATAAATTCATCATCTAAGAAAGTCAAAAATTAAATATTTTCACATCAAATTCATGCATTTGCCACTTACCCAATGATAAAAGTAAATAACATTAAAGAATATTTGAAGATGACAAATACAAAAAATAATTTATATAATTTATACCTCTGAAATATTTGTGTAAAAATTTTAATTTCAATTTATTGTACTCAAATTATTAAAATTCTTATAATAGTCAATAAGTACATCTTGCAAAATAAATATCATTAGTTTTAATGTGGAGAGACTTTGGTTACTTCAGTAAAGTTGAAAAACAAAATAATTGTTAACACAAATTACAATTCCACCGTTATTTTTCTTTCCAGTATTTATGGGAGTTTCCTTTCTAACCTTTTGTTCAAAGCAGTGAGGAATGTTACCATAAGTATTATGTCATTTTTTCTCTCTATTTTCATTGTTGTTGCCGATGGAATGTTTTATTTGGTACAGTTCTAACTGATCCGAGAAAGTGGTTATATACAAAATGACAGTTAATATATTTCTGAACAAGTCTGTCCGACACCAATACATAGCATCCACATGCGATCAGATGGAACTATTTAAGAACATGACTCGAGTTCTTGGTTTAATGTTTTGATCTTGTAGCAACTTGAGATATTAGTAAAACTCTATCTCTAGTGCAACCTATTCAGTGTTCAATTTCTTTACCTCCTATACTAAATTTCTTATAACTGATCCATATGCTGAGGTATTTGAAGTGTTTAGTAATTACTAATTCCACATCCTGAATTTTTATGATGTATTCAGGGTGCATACCATCACTGATTTCATTTAAATTCCGGATCATAGTTTCTGTTTTGGAAAGGTTTATCTTGCGTCCTATTTCTTGGAACACTTAATAGAGGATGCTGATTTTCTGTTCAAGATCATTCTTATCCCAGTTATGAATACCTATGTCATCAGCACAGCAACCTCCCACATTAGTCTCAGGAGGGAAAGCAGGAAAGCTTTTTTTTTTTTTTTTATTAGTAGAATCATTTTGGGATGTGATATGGAATGCTTGACTGAGCAGTGCCCATCTCTTCAGGTCTTTGCTTTTACATATTCAGGGCATAGTGTAATAAAATAAAAAGGTACTTACCCATGTTTTTCAGACAATCTAGACAGAATACGAGCAGCAGCAGGGAAATTCTTGTTCTTTTCATAAAATTTCCATAGCAAGTCTAAAATAATGGTCCTTTCCTCTTGAACAATGCTAACTTTCCATTTAAGATAATTTTCCAAAAATGGACTCTTGATCTTAAGTGAATAAAAAGAAAACAAAAATATGTTATCATCGCTCTTTGTAATTGACTTTGTATCAAGGCAGGAAATTTTATTTTTGTTTATTAATCCATTCTAAGATGGTCACATTTGAATCAAAGGCACAGGCCCTAAACTTTGTACTACAACAACATTGAAGAGAGATTACTGGAAAGAATATTTCTTGAAAGGAACTGAATGGCATAGACTCAAAGAATTAAAATTGGAAAAAAAATAAATAAATAAATAAATAAATGAGTCTTATCCTGATCATGGTTCTCCACAGATTGTTCTTTTCTTCGTTATCTGTGCATTACCATGACTCCTTGGGAAAGATAGTGAAATGGTTTCCTGTTGCCTTCTCCTGCCATCCAAAGCTAGAGAGCCTAGTCTACCCTGCTAGCTGGGAAAGAGAGAAGACATAGATTCATGTCTTTCCTAAGAGTATTGACATGAAATTGAAAGCAACAGACTAGGGCAGAATTTGAAGCTGACTTTGCAACATTGACCATTAGACAACCCACACATCAAAAGAGAATAGATATTATTAATATAAATGGATACAATAAATCTTTCAATATGAATATCAGATAAAGCGTCAGTTTCTTAGAACAATTTATTGCATTAATAACATCAGGAATCACACATTCTCTTCCCCATATATAATGTATTGTATATGGTTTAACATTTGTTATATTTAAGGTAGAAGAGTGCTCAATATTGGAGATAAAGTGTTTGAAGATATAGAAAGTATGGACAGTAGTGTTGATTTCTCTATTCACACTGTTTATATTATGCAAAAGTCAATTATGAAGCCTGATAACTGCTTCTCCTACCACATATTTGAAATTGCAACAAAATGGATATAGAGAAACAGTTATTTTCAGTCATCCTCCAGCAGACTCTAAAGAGATTTAGCAAACTTGCTTTTCTTGTATTTATCAACAGTGAAATTTCATACCATATTTTAAGTATTTATCAAGTATGAAATACTTTATTATATAATTGAATCCGTTTTTATACACAGCATTATGTTTGTTTACTTACCTCAATTAGTTTGTCTTTTAAATTGTGATGTAATAGCCAGTCATAAAGCGCAACATGGAATAGTTCATCATCAGACTTCAGAGCCAATTTAAACACGTGGTCTTTCTGTAAAATAGATTAAGAAGATTTAATTTCAGTTCATCACTGAAATAGGGTTATTTCGTTGTAGAACTTGTTTGAGTAGTGATAGATATGAAATGCAAAAAAAAAAAAAAAAACTATTTCAAAAATTTTAAATGTTAGCTACCAACAAAAATTACTCCAAAATTTAAATATTCTTTCCTTATTGCAATAATGAAATTTAGAAACAGTGTAGGAATGTAATTCTCTAGCACATTGATCTCCTTACAAATGGTAACAGGAAATATTGCCTTCTGTGAAGAATAATAATTGATTTGGCCATAAAAATCATTGACATTAGACAATATTATAAATTTTATCAAAACAGATATTTTTATTTATTGATTCTAACATTGAAAATGGAAGGAAAAAAAAAAAAAAAAAAAAAAAAAAACAATATTTTCAGCATATTTGACATTATCTTAAAAGTAAAATTTAGGACAAAGTCTAACATACATACCAAAAAAAGCCAAAAAGGAAGGTTTTTCTCTTGACACTGCTATTATTGTTTGTATACTCTCTCAGCAATTTTTATTGTTTTAAAAAGCTATTTTTAATATTTTAATAAAACCTAAAACATATGAATCAGGATTTATGCACTTTATCAAGAACGGACAACAAAAGCATTAAATACTAATTTTGTAACTAAATGGACTAGTATAGTAAATAAACATTTTTTCTTGCTAATTCTAAAAAAAAAAAAAAATTCCAGTGAATTTATGTGGCAAGAGCAAATGAAAAAAATTACTGAAAAATGCATTTTTTCAAAATTTCTAATTACTATTACTCGTTGGTGTTTATTTAAATTTTCTTGGTCACAGACGTTTTTAGAAATTTATGAATTAAAAAAAATTGTTTTCATACTTATTTCTTTACAATATGGTAAATATTGCTTTGTAATTTGCTCATATTTTTATAAACTTGTAAACATAAAATTATTCTTGAAAATAAACAATCTAATAAAACAGTATTTAATTTTTTGTTGTCAATTTTCAAGAAAAAAAAGAGAATAATTCCAGTTTCATGTGTTTGGATTTTATTACAATTCTTAAAAGTACTTTTTAAAGCAATAAAAATTGTTGTGAGTATACAGTAATAGCGATGTCAAGAGAAAGGCCATCCTTTTGAAACACCATTATATATGTTAAACATTGTCAAATTATTATCCAAATGCAAAAAACAATATTTGTACAGTGTCTGAAGAAGACAATAATTATAATAATTGGATCTGTCAGAAGTGGAAATGGACAAATGAATGATACTCCAGAGTTAGTAATTAAAGAAATTCTTGGTAACAACTAACATCATATGAGAAAAAAGATAAGCAGCATACTCAAAGTATTCAAATGAAGTCATCAAACTCTTTGTACCAGCTTGGTTATGTTAGTCACTTTGATGTGTGGCTTCCATATAAAAAGGAAAAAAAAAAACTAGTGGACCATAATTAAATGTTCCATTTTTGTATAGAAGATTAGAAGTGGAGATTTTACAAGATGGAATAAAAGAGATGACAGAGTAAGTTTGAAAAGAATCAGCACTAACCATAGCCAAAACCCAGTCTTCAGCCAAAGCTAATATGTTCAGATTAAAAGGAATTTCTTTACCATGAACTCCTTCCAGAGAATGAAACAATTCATTTGAACAAACACTGTTCACAAAAAAAGAAAAAAAAAGGTATACTATCCGATTAGGATAACATAAGATCAGATTTCTTTTAATGAGTGGGTAAAAATTATCACATCAGATATTTCATCTTCATCATTTATTCTAGTATTTAGAGATTTCTCTTAAAAACAAAAAGAAGAAAACGGTTCCTTGGAAACCTGTGAAAGGTATCTAGAGCTGAAAAAATAAAATTTTCTGACAAGATGGAATTATGAAGTTGCCAAAGATGGAAGATATTGGAATGAAAAAGAAAATATTTTGTTCAGTACAGTTAGTGGAGACACACAGCCTTGGAGATTAATGTCTTGCTTAAAAGAAAACTGAGTCACTGGCAGCTACATGTTCAATTCCTGGATCAAAATCTTGTCCAGTGGAAGAAACGGACATGCCACACAAAGGTGAATAAGACTTATGAAATATTCTTTAAGCATGGAAAGTAGAATGAGAAATATCTACTCCAAGGGTTGAATAAAGTGTTTGGTTTAAAAAATACAGAGTATGAAGGTAGAAGCTTGAAGAATATCAAAAGGTACAACAGTTGATGCATGAACAACCAAGATGAGCATGCTGGTCTGAATAGCAAAGCATATAAAGTTAATGTTGAAAATAAGAAAAGTCTTATTTTTATTTAGTAAATTTAACAAATATTTTAAGTTTTCAAAATTACTGTGTTGTTAACAATGTATGGTATCCAGCCAAATGGGTGCAACTGTCGGAAAAATGTCCAATGTTTGTGTGTGTGTGTAGAATATTTAGATATTTTTGCTGTCATTTGAAAAGGAAAGTATCATAGTATAATTTCAGTGCAATAGCTGTTTTCTTTGTGTTACACATGGAAAAATACAACCAATTTTTTGAAAGAGAAAGAAATTTTGATTCTTCATTTTTGATCTCCATTGGCATTTGTTTATCATACTAAAAAAAGTAAATTTTAATAGTTTTAAAACTTTGATATTCTTTAGGATTTCACTGTATTTTTTGTTATAATAATGTTCCAGTAATAATAATAATAATAATAATCTGACACTATTTGGCACTGACAAATGGAAAGAAAAGGGTTAACTCAAAAACATAGCTCAGAACAAGACGAGAAGGCTTAATGAATAGAATGATGGACAGACTGAGAGAAAGATGGGAGATTTTTTCCTTTTCCAAAAAGAAAGTTTAATTCCCTAAAACCAGAAAAATTACTTAAGGGAAGGCAATATTACTACAAGAAGCCATGTGATAATCTTTAAGCTGACAGCTGATTAATGACCCAGTTCCAAAGTACTAGTTACAGAAACACAATATAAGTAGGACATAAAATTTGATCTGTGAATATAGTTTCTTTGTGTAACCTAGTGTATTTGGAGGGGGTGGCTGACCAGAGAACCACCAGGTAAATTTCTTATTTTTAAGCAAAACCAGACTAAGAAAATTTCAAATGATAATTTCAATTAATGACCATAAGTTAGGGCACACCAAGCATTCAAGAGTGGTTAAAGTGTAGCCAAGGTGGCAGGCACAGGTGAAATATCAAGGAAGGCAGAGGAATTGCCCATGTCCATTGAAAAGTGTTGGTGTGAGGTACCAAAATGAGAAGAAAAGAGGGTGGATCAATATCCTGCTACCACTACTCATGAAGGAGGGAATCTCCCCAAAATTGGGAATGTAATTAATTTCCTGGAACCAGAAAACAATGTACTCTTGTTGGCAATTTGGGAAATCACTAGAACCCCAGTTCGCATAATACCTCTGTGCCAGTTTCGGGTGAAGGTTCATATAAATAGGAGATCAAAGCGGCCGAGAAACAGTTGTTCCAGATGATGGACAAGAGACAACCTCAGGCAACTTCCTGCCTGAAAGAAACCTCCAACATAAGCCTTGTCCACACTTAGCTAAACCAACCAAAGTGTCAACTTACAAAGTGGGAAGGGTTGAGATTTTGCTGCATGAAGAACTAATAATTTTTAATGTCAAGAAATTTCCAACTCCTGTACAAAGTTCGTACATATAAAAACATTTTCTTTTACTCAAATTACATTTTTTTTTTTTCATTTGTGACTTCAGTCTACCTGGACCAACCCAATATGACAATTCCCGTTGCTGATTCGATCTGTGCCAGCCTTATGATCAAAACCAAGCACAACGTAGGATAAGGCAAGACTTGGATCAAAGCAGTCAACTCATCAAATCAGCCACATGGATTGGACATCGGCCAAAAAGAAGGCTACAATAATATAAGGCAAATAGTAATAATAATCTTGAATATGGATTAAGAAAACAATAATGAAATTAATAATAAGAATGATTTTATATTAAAACAAACCAACTCTTGCAGACTCCCAACATAATTTTTCATTCTCAAAAATATCTTGTATCCCAAAAAATAGTAAGCTTCATCTTGGCATAGGGTCTTCATCTCCATGAGAGGGGTAATGGAACAGTTAGCTATTATCTAGAACATTCCCTTTTGAATAACAGCAAAATATCTAAATATTCTATATATATATATATATATATATATATATATATATATATATATATATATATATATAGGACATTTTTACCGTTGGGAAATTGTCCTTATCAGGCAGTTGACCTAGAACAACAGTGTATACATAAATCATAATTCATTAAGAAAAAAAGAAAGAAAAAAAGTATATATATATATATATATATATATATATATAATCATTTCAACACCAAGCAAGGAAATAAATCCACTCAGACAAGGGGTTATTGAGTATTAAAAAAGACGAGGAAAAATAAAACACTGTTAAGGAGAGAGAACAATAGAAGAACATGAATTAAGACGAAAGATATTGATTGACATTGCATTCAAACTTTTGAAGATCAAAGTTGACTGGGAAGCAAGAAGTCAGAAGGAAACTATTAGCATAGAACTTATGGTTACATTTAGCAATTTCAACTGTAAAATGATGACACCTTACCACCAATCTAATATTACACTTAAATTCATAGAGTCCAGGTACCATAGAGGAGAGTTCATCAGAACAATTACCATGAAAGTATTTATAGAAAAGGCACACAGAAGCTATATTACGGCAGTGGGAAAATGACTGAAGCCAAGATGTCAGGACCAATAACATTGCATATTATTCTTTGGACTTTATGAAGAATCTCTAAATAAACATCTGGTCTAGTGCAAGAGCACCAGACCAGATGTCATCAGAAACAAACAATTATAAATATTGCCAAACCAATTAAGTTGGATAAGCATTAAAAACATTACAGATTATTATGATAAATGGTAAGGTAAATTAACCTTTGTCCCCTCCATACTTCTTTAACACTTCAAGTCATTTTGTTGAGGATGGAGGGGACATCACAGTGAGTAAACCACTCCTGTTTATTTTCAAGATATTCACATTATTAAGAGCAGACAATATTTCTGCTTTCATTTTTTTTTTGTCTTATTTTCTAAATTTTCAAATCAATAAAATGAATTATCTTTATTCTTCATATAATCATGACATGAAGATTGATTGATTGTTAAATTGTTTTACCAGTGTATCAAAATCCCTGTGGGTCATTTAATGCTGAAACTGGATTTTTATTCAGGCATGTTTCAAAACATTTCAAGTGGTTATAAGGTTTTAAAAATGTTTCCAAAACATCACAAGTTGTATAGTTAAAGATTTCAAAATGTCTCAAGCTGCATGGTTTGGGAGTATGTCAAAGCATAAGTTGTATGGTTCAAAATCCAAACTCTATTTTCTATAGAAGTTTGAAGTAGTATTTTTTTTCAGATATTCTATTATTTGGGCATTAGGTACATTTTTAAAGAGCATATTAGGATTTTGTGTTTGATAATAGCTGCTATGTATTGTTTTTTTTTTGCTTCTTAGATTCTATCAAAATACGTTTGACAATGAGAAATCAATTGCAGTGGGTTCACCAAGGTGTAGTTTCTGCCTTGAGCATGTGTGTGTGTGTGTCCAATACTTATTCTGTTGAATACTACAGCTTATCTATTATCACCTAATGGCTCTATATTCTCCTCATGAAACAAAGAAGTGATTAAAGAGAATATAAAGTACTTACCTGAATCTCTGCTTCTGATGGAGCCAAACGGTTAGGATCTGGTGCTGGAGCCTTTCCTGGAGATTTTGGTGTACTTGGTGACTGTGGGTGTGATACACTAGCATAAAGAAGGTATCCAAGTGTTTCTGTTATGTGCTTGTAACATTCCATTCTGAAAATTAAATAATCTGACGTCAAATAAAAATACAAAGGTTTTGGATGACTAAACGAATGTCAGAGTCAATAGTGTTAAGTTTATTTTACTCTGACAAAGTTACTTTGTGTAATATTCAAAAACAGAACAGTAGAAGCCCAAATCCATTTTTATTTGAATAAAAAAATAACTGACGAGGATATCAAGTAAAACAAATACTTTTTGTACAGATTATATTCTGAAGTTAGCAAAGCCTACAGGAATTAAATATATTTCAATCAATAACATCCCGTCAGAAAGTTTGTTTGATAAACAATAATTACTAGGGCAAATACTACCAAAATACTTATGAATGTAGTTGTAGAGTTACCAAGTGTTATTTTTGGACCATTTAGAAAATAACAACTCACCTCACCAATCTGGCAAATTTGACAAAAAGACTTTCACAAGTCAGTTTGAAATTATTTTATAATCAATTCACAAAAATTTGCACCTCTACGTGAAATTAGATTTTGGATCCTTTTTACAGATATAAAAATAGAAGCATACTTGGGATTCCCACAGATCTGTGTAAAAAAAATTCCAGGACTATGTTAAGTTTCAAGGACTGAAACTGGCACGTGCACACACAAAGTGAATGGTCATCAATTTCAAAAACAAACATGATTTATCTTTTAATAGTTTGACAGGTGAGATGTTCAAAGAAAAGCTACAGCTGGTTCCAATAATTCATGTCATTATGGATTAGTTGGAAGCAGTGAAGAAATCAAAGTGTTGAAGGCTAAAGCACAACTGAATATAGACCTGGTTATGTTACACATTTTTTGTATCATTCTACAGTTTTGGAGTTCTACTACACATGAAAATCTTGAATTACACACACTTTAATCCATTTCAGCTATCTAGATTACTCAATTGTTTGAGAACGTCACAAAAATTCTTGATTGCTACACTTTTTTTGTGAAGTTAAGTATAATGGTTTTAATGAACAGAACAACAAATCTACTACTCATGACTATCATTGCAAAGAACACAATGAAGATAACATATTTTTAGTTCATCTAGTTTAGCATTCAGCTCCTCTCCCAATTTTGTTATCTCTATTGACTTGTCATTTGCAGGTCTTTGCATGGCATTGGACTTTAAGTGTGAAGTTCTGAGTCACCTCAGTTTTCTCTGTATAGCTGTTAGCTGACTTGAGCAAATCTTGTGTGCAACTTTCAAGCTTGCGTTTTTTTTGGTTTTCAGTTCTTCAATTTCCATAAGCATGGATATCCGGTTATGTCCAACTGATTCTTCCTGCCTTTTTTCTTCTGCAGAGAAGAGCCTTAGTCATAGGAACATTCCCAGCACCTCCAACTGTGACCAAATAGTCTGTGATAATGCACAGTGTGACTAGAGTCTGTGAGAACAAAGTGACCGGACAGTTTTCATGGTTGCTGAAATTCTTGAAAGCAATATTTCCAGCGGCTGTGTCCTCAAACTCTTTGTACTGACTGATGATGGCATCACAAGCAGACTTGCTGACTTGTTTTCTGTCCATCAGGTGGGAAAAACATCTTTTTAGACTGTCTTCTGTGACAGATTTTTTTTCACAAATTAATCCAGGGTTCAGCCATGTAAGTGACCTTACAAGAGGATATCTAAGGGGAAACTTTGCCAGAAGTTTCTCAATGACGTTGATGAACATTTCCTTGTTGCAATTCTGCATGCAAACATCTTTTGTTGACACATTTCTGTTTTTAGATACATTTTACATAGCCTTATCTGCCCGAAATCCACACCTGATCTTTGCAGCATCTTTATACATGTTTGGGTTTGACAAAATTCTTACAAATTCATTCAGTTTGGAAAATGTAATTATCTTTTTAATGTGCTCGTCCTTCACAAATCTTAACACTTTCATGATCATACTAAAAAGATCATCTTCAAGGAAAGGAAGCAATGGTTTATTGATCTGGCATGAACAGACACAAAAATCTGTAGTTTCACCAGAAATAAAATGTCATTCACGTTTGACAGCACCACAGAGGACTTGATCAGGGGACATTTTTCTGTTTTTTTAAATCAAGTTCACAAATTTGATAACTGGCCGAATGTCTAGTTGTTCCCATGTTTGTACATTTTCTAGCCTTCTACAGCAGAAATTCAAAAGTGAAGGAACAGAGTTGTCAGACTGAACTTTTAATAGAAAGCCAAACAATAAAAGCCAAATATATATATCTCATTGTTTTTTCACACAACAAAAACTAGAAATAAAGGTCATTATGAGCCTGCACACTAAAAATTACATTTTATTTTCTATCCTAAAACACATCAAAGGCACATTTTCTATAATCCTTCTTGTCTATATTTTTTTTGAGTTAAATTTGATTCACAAACTTGTTACTTTTGGCAGCAATTTAGACAAATTTACACATAGATACTCATTGATATGGGTACATACTATTTTTCAATATGAACTCATCCACTGCTGACTAGAGATCAAAAGAACTTTTTACTTTCAAAATTGACATGTGAATAAATTTTTTTCAATTGTTCAAATTTAAAAAAAACAAAAAAAACACTGAAACTATTCAAGATTCTACTAAAATGTATTTTATTACTGTAAAATAATTTATTTTTTCCTTTCAACTATGAATTCAATGAGTGTGAATTAATTTTTCTTTGACAGAGATGTTTACTTGTCTGTAATGACTTATCTTTGCTTTTCTTCTTTTCTTGTTGAGTGAGGGTAGCAGCTAGAAGACACGCCTTTATATTATTTCTCCCTTTCTTTCTAATCCACCATTCACAATAATTACCAAATATTACTGACAACTAAAAAATCATTTTTCTTAAAAGGACACTTTTAGTTTGTAAAAAGCCAGATTTCTGGGATTTGGCATTTTGGCTTTCATGAATTGAGAAAAGGGATGTATGAGCAGCCCAATTTAGAAAATTCCAGGACTTTTCAAGGACCTTTTAAGATATTCAGGTTTTTCCAGGACTTGTACAAATCCTGCATACTGCTTCTCAATTTTGGAGGCCAGTTCGATCTACATGTGCATACACACACCCAAACAATAGAATAGTCAGCAGCCTGACTAAGGCCTTGTCCATGCACTGACAGAAACATTAAGCTGACCATCATAAAGTAAGTCTGTCCACACTTCTCACACCACAATAAGAACAATTATTACTTGATAAAACAAATTTCACTGCAAGGAAAATTGAATATTTTATTGTTATTGTATATTTCTGAAAAGAATCTATAAACGTTATTTGAACTGACATTCTGCTTCTATTTTTCCTTCAGAGAATAACCTTTATCAGGTTTTATTTAAAAGATGTGATATTGTTGTTAAATGTTTGAAATTCTGACACTCAGATAACAAAAAACTGAGTAAACAAATCCTGACAAGCCTATAAGCAAAAATCATGTTAATAATAATAATAAGAGTTAACGAGAAAGTTTATAAGGAACAATCATGCCTTTTTCTTTCTTTTAAAATCCTATCAACTGACAAGTGAATTTTTTTTCTTAAGAGACACACTAAAACTTACTTCATAAATTTTTAAAACAAAGAAATTAATCAATGTCTGTTAAAAGACTGATTAGGTTTTAATGGTTACTTACCGGGACATGTAGGCTTGTTTGCCTTGGGAATCTTCAGGTTGTTCTCCATTCTTGTGGAAATGTAAGGCAAAATTTTGGGGATCACGTTTTTGTGCAATGCACAAGCAGATATCAACAATTCCCTCATAATATTGGGCAGATGAGAGTTGGTTACAGACTGGAGACAACTGCAATGGCTGATTTACTGATTTATACAACTAAGCAAGAAGAAAGAAAAAAAAAAATAGTTGGAATAAACATATACAGCACAACAACATGACCCGGTCATAAAAAAAGGCAGTTTTTATTTAATAAAATAGAATTTGGATAACTGAAAATTTGATTGATTGTTTTTTTACAGCTTATCAATCTTTTGAAGGTTATTTAAAGCCAGAAAATATTTTTAGATTGTAAGAATTTTGGGAAGGTATTAATGATTTACTGATAAAAGTCATACTAATTAACCCATAACTGGAGGGAGAAGAGGGGGAGTCATACCTTTTCCAAGGATATCTGCACATAAGTGAATATAACAAACCTGACTGGAATTGGAACTTGGCTCTACAATTTCCAATTCCAAGCCATTATCCATTACACCACCTACATATCCATGCTTACAGCACCTGGTATTCCCAAGTAGTCACCCATCTAGATACTGACCAGACTAGATGTTTCTAAACTTTGGTGATCATATGAGAATTGGTGTTTCAACATGATTTGGCCATAAACCTAAAAAGCATTTGTTAATTAAAAAAGAAGTAATTAAGCCTTATCCACCATAATAGCTCAATTGTGAAACTCCCAATGAAGATTGAACTGGCAAATTTAGTTAGCTAATGACCATTTGTTTCAATTAAATATTGTTCTGAAATTATTCATCTTTAAACTGGGGAGGGGGAACAGGTGAATATTGAATTGCTGGAGCCTAACAGAACTGGATATTTGCTGTGAATGTAATGCCTCCTATTTTATAAATGTTGGCTCACAATGTCAGAGACAGATGCTACAAAACCCCATGAAATGCTATCTATATTTTACAGTGCATTGACTGATGCACAACCATTAGAGTGTGATTTGATACAATGTTCCTCATCCATTTGGTGGTTAACGTCTTTGCCAGTCACCAATTGTTCTATTCTTGCATCACCTGAGGTTGATCAAAGTTTTCAGGTTCTGCCATCACATATTCACAGTGTACTTGAGCAAAAACTAAAGCAATTGCCACTTTGAAGAGAAAATACATCATCCTTCTAGTCTCCGATAATCATTCTGTGTGTGCATGTGTGTGAGTGAGAGAGAGAGACAAGCACATACAAATACACACATAGATACAAACTTATGTACACACACATTTGTATCCATATACAATAAGAACCAAAACACAAGTGCAAAGTCAAAGTTTTGGGGGTAATATGAATTTGCTTTTATGTTGACACTTGAAAATAATCACATTTTATTTCAGTTTTATCTTCCTATCTCTTTACTTACCAGTTATATTAAATTGTTGTCTCTTAATGTAAGCACCCCCCACCCTTGAAAACTTTTCTAGGTCAATTTATTTTTGCTATTGTTTCATCTTGTATTTTTTATTATTTTTTAATTTTTTATTTTTTTTTTTATCTTTGTATATGTCAGTCTGGATATATTTATTCCATTTCATAAAATGTAGTCAGTCTGATGAGATGAATATACTTATATTCATTGAAATAAATTTATCACTGATAATAAGTCAAAGATATTTTTCCCCCTATATATATATATATATATATATATATATATATATATATATATATATATATATATATACATACACACATACACAAAAAGTGTGATAGATAAATTGTCACCTAAATTACACAAAAATGAAAATAACACTGACATCTCATTTTAACAGATATATTAACCAAAATTACACAAAAATATATTGAAATACTAAAGAATGAATTTATTCAACAAAATCACTATTGGCTTCAACCACTGCCTCCAGACAACTTCGGAATCTCCTGCAACACTTCTGGATGGTCTCCTTGTTTAAGTTAGCGAATGCTGCCATAATCCTTGCCTTCAGTTCATCTTTGGTGTGACAAGGAGTTTTGTTGGTCTCTCACTCAACTGTGCCCCACAAATAATAATCAAGGTAGTTGCAGCCTGGGGAATTAGGTGGCCATAACTGGGTTCTCCTTCTTGTGTGGCACGGTGCAGTTATCCAGCAGCCACCTGCTTGACCCAGAGCAGTACTACCTTTATGTTGGCCTCCGTGTTGAGTCTGAGGCCCTGTGGGAAGATGACTAAAAGCATAATGTCACCATCACAAGTGATCACTCCAAACACCTTTGTAATCACCATTAGACTCATCCAACTCTTTCTGAATCATCTGCACTATCCCCAGATTGACACCCAAATACTCTGAAATGTTTGTATTGGAGCTTCTGGTATGAATGACAAGCAGTTTAGTATGCTGTTTCCAAATTTCTGGCAAAGTGAATTGTGCCATGGAGCTCTTTTTCTCACAGATGGTGCTCAACTAACCCTACTATACTCTGCAGTCGACAATTTACCCATCGCACCCTCTGTGTGTGTGTGTGTGTGTAAAATTGGGTAGACGGAACACTTGGGGTTCAATGATAGCTGTGCTAACACGAAGTCACAAGTCACCATGACTAAGGATTTGAGTGTGCTGGTGCTGTTCAGATTGTTGATCATGCTAGATAACATGCTCTCTCCCAGAAACTGTAACTAAGGTCTGCTCAGCATAGTTGCAGTATAAACCACAGGTTGGCTCTGTGGATGTTGAACAAACAAAAATGTGCCTGAGCGAGAGTCTGCAATAGGGATTTGCTAGCAACCCGAGTAGACAGGTATCCTTGAATACGAGTGGCCAAAATTATATATATATATATATATATATATATATATATATATATATATATATATGTGTGTGTGTGTGTGTGTGTGTGTCTGTATGTATATAAACTTTTCAATGCAAATATACCTTAACATTATAGTATCTCTGCCCAGTTTTCTATTGCAGTAGGGAACAGCTCCCCAGTCAAAAATACATCACTGTCTATCACACACTTAAGGCAAAAAATATTAATGGCAGGCAATGGCATTTTTAAAGCCAAGGAAGTTGGTATCTGATATTTTGCAAGTCTCAATTGTGTATGACTTCATGGGATCTTCAACAGGCAAAGATGCAGAAAGCAATTTGGTAGAAACATTATGTTCTAACAGAAAAAACAAGAATGTTTATTTAGTGATATGAACATGAAGAAAGAGCATTTGTTGAATTTCGTATAATGGAGACATAAATGTTATGATCTTACCATTAAAGCTTCCCTGAGTTGTTGTTTCTTCTTCATTTGGTCAGGATTCACCTTTGCAGCCTGCAGCAGTTCCACAGCCTGAGTAAAGAAAATGGAAGTAATAATGAAATCAAAGTGAAAAGGACAGCTTGGTGATAAAAATCTTATAAATTTTTAAAAGCAAATGATTAGAATTGGAATAAAATCTAAACATATGATGAAAGTGAATCTATACATTTTTAAAAATATTAAACGTTATTTATTTATTTATTAGATTGTTTATTTACAAGAATAATTTTTTTATATTTTGCAACTTTCAAAAAACTAATTGTATTAAAACTAATGCAATACTGGGAAAAACCATCCTTTTGACAAACCGTTTTTTCTGGTTAAAGATCACTGGAAAACAAAACAACTATGAGCAAGTTGAAAGAGATTATTACTAAAAATTTATAATTTCCCCCACTTTCAATGCTTTTTTTTTTCATCATTTCACTCCAAATCAAGATGGGAATGTCACTACTACACAGGGGGGTTACAGAGAGTGAAAGTGAGAGAAGACTGAGTAAAGTGGGGATTGTAGAAAGGATAAAAGAGTGGGTGTAGGGAGGATTGACAAAAGGTAAAAAGGACAGGGATCAAGGCAACAGAAGATGGCAATTGACATTGCATTTAAATTTTTGAAGATTGTAGTTTTCAGAGAAGCAAGTAAACAGTAGGGGTTCCACAGGTGAGAAGTATGAGAAAAGAAAGTATTAGAGTAGAAGTGGTGGTTACATTTAACTATTTCAACAGTAAAAGGGTGAGATGTATATGCCAATCTAGTAGCACCAGGGAAAAAAAGCTCGTCAGAGCAGTTGCCAGAAAAATATTTGTAGAAAAGACAGAGAGAAGCCACATCACACCTGTGAGAAAGTGACTGAATTCAAATTGCCAAGTCAGGATTGATTACATTGTAGATCCTTCTTTGAATTTTGTCAAGAACCCCAAGATGAATAGCAGGAGCACCAGACCAGATATGGCAACAGTATTCAATACACAGGCGAATGGTATGTTTGTTTGTTTGTTTGTGTTTTACGACATATCGACCTCCTCAGTCATTTAATGTCAAATCAGGTTATTATTGGAATATTATTTTCCAATATAATAGACCCTTCCATTTCCACAAACGGAGAGGTTTGCCATGCTGAAAAAAGGTTTTTAGAAATTAAATGGTTTGTAGAAAAAATCTGGTTCTGTCAAAAAAAAAATTTTTTGTAGAGAATTGTATAAATGGGAAGTTTTTTCCTTTTTGAGAAATGGTATGCAGAAAGAATCAGATTTTGTTGAAAACATTCCTTGCAGCAAAAGTTTGCAGAAAACTCCCAACTTTTTTGTTTTTTAGATTTTTTTGTACAAATTGACTGCTTTCAGGAACAATATTATGTTATCCATGTCCGTTTTTTGGAACAGTTCCTTCATGTTACTTGCACTATAAAAGCGTTTCTCTTATATGGGCTAGGTCAGTACATTCAATGAGAATGTGTTTCACTGTGTATCTTGTCTGGCATGCATAACACATTGGTTGTTGCTTTGCTTCAAGTAAGTAGGAATGTGTTGTCCTTGTATGGCCTATTCAAGTCTGGACAATATCACTTCCTCTTTTCTATTTTTCCTATAGCTCTGTTTCCATTCTCCCAATTCAGGTTTAATTTTTAGTAATTTATTATTACTATTGCTGTTCCAGCGTTGTTGTCTTTGTTGCAGTATGTATTTATTTATCTTCATTTTAAGGTCTGTATATGGTATTTTGAAATTTTTTTCTATGGTCATATTTAGAGTAGACCTGGCTGCTTTATCTGCCTGGTCATTTCCACCGATTCAGTGTGACCTGGGACCCAACATATCTGTATATCATTATCATTTGATAGGTGTTCTAATTTACATAGTTTTTCACTATCAATGGATTATCAAACTTCCTGTTTTTTAGTGATTCTAATACTGATAGTGAATCAGAAAAGATAATGAACTTGTTGTTCCTTGATTCTGAGATGAGGTTAAGAGCCATGTTAATTGCGCAAACTTCTGCACTGAATATAGAGGTGTCATTTGGGAGATGTTTTTTAAATATTTTCCTATTTACATAGGCACATCCTGTTATTTTTCCTACTTTAGATCCATCTGTGAAGACATGTGAGTGCCTAGGATATCTCTCCTTAACTTTCTCTAATTCCTCTTGGAAAATTAGTGGGTGGGTTTTATTTTTGAAGTATTTACAGAGGGTTAAGTTTATGTTTGGGGTTCTTATGGTCCAAGGTGGGATATCTGGTATGATTGTTTTATGGATTTTTTGTCAAATCTACATCTGCTTCTTCTATAATTGTTTCCATCCGAAGTCCAAAAGGGTTTTATGGCTTTTCATTCCTTTGGAATAATTCTTTGTATTTTGGATAGAAGGTACTATTGTACATGGGATTTGCTGGGCATGACCCTAATTTGACATAGTACTGGAGGGCCAGTTTATGGCTTCTACTATTTGCAGGTGCTTCGTTAGCCTCAGCATATAGGCTCTCGACTGGAGACGTTCTAAAGGCTCCGGTACTAACCTCAAACCTCCATGGTAGATCGGGTCAAGCATTTTTTAAATAGGATTTTCTGGCTGAACGGTATATAAAAATACTGTAATCCAATTTTGATCTAATTAGGGATCTATACAATAATAACAGAGTGTTTTGATCTGCTCCCCATTTTGTGTGGGCTACCACGCAGCAGTAGTTGTAATGTTTTGTTACATTTGGTTTTTTAAGTATTTCAGGTGGGGAATAAATGTTAGTTTTTTGTCAAATATTACCCCCAGAAACTTGTATTCATCTACAACTGGGATCTCTGAACCGTCAAGTTTCAGCCTAGGGTCATTATGGAGTTTCCTTTTGTGACAAAAATGGACACATTTTGTTTTTGTTTTAGAGAACTTGAATCCATTTGTTGTTGCCCATCTGCTGATTTTATTTAGACCCTGTTGCAGTTTTAGCTCGATTGTGTGGATATATTTTGATTTATAACATATCATAAGGTCATCCACATATAGTGATCCATCGGTTCCTGGTGGTATTTCCTTGATTATAGTGTTTATTTTTATGTTAAATAGTGTTACGGACAATATACTGCCTTGTGGGACACCCTCTTCCTGATTTTTCACATCTGAAAGTGTAGAGTCGACCACGAACTCTGAATTTTCTTTCAGATAAGAATCCATCAATAAACTGTGGCAATCTACCCTTTATACCCAGGTTACTCAAGTCCCTCATTACTCCATATTTCCACGTCAGTATCATAAGCCTTTTCTAGATCGAAAAATATAGCTGTAAGGTGTTCCTTTTTGATAAATGCTTCTCTAATATTTGTTTCAAAAGGCGTATTAAGTGGTCTATTGTGCCTCTTTTACTACGGAACCCACATTGTAAGTTGGAAATAAGATTGTTTGATTCCAAATGCCAAATCAACCTGTTGTTTATTATCCTTTCCATTGTTTTACACAAGCAACTGGTTAAAGAGATAGGTCGATAGTTTTGTGGGTCCAAGCCATCTCTTTTTTGGTTTGGGAATTGGTATCATTGTTGTCTCTCTCCATATATCTGGGAACCTTCCTTCTGTCCATATTTTGTTAAATATTTTTAAAAGGAATTTTAGTGATTCTTCTGGTAATTTTTTAAAAACTCATAGTGGATTTCATCCGGCCTACAGCAGAATTATGGGATTTTTTATAGAGTCTTTCAATTCTCTTAGTGTCAATAAACTATTATAATCTTCAAGATTTTTTTGATTTAAAATTTAGTTTACATTTTTCTGCATCTTCTTTGATGGTTATGAATTCTTTTGTACCATTCAGACTGGATGAGTTTTTGGCAAAGGTTTCAGCTAGCAATTCTGTTATAGCTTTTTATCTGTTATTATGGAGTTGTCTTTTGAGAGGTGTTTTATTGGTGTTGTTTCTTGTTTGCCCATAATTTTCTTAATCATTTCCCAAATTGCCTTTGGTTTAGTTGAGCAATTCAATTTGCTGACATAATTCTGCCAGCATTCTCTTTTTGCTGCTTTTATCTCTTTTCGTGCCTTTGCTCTGTTTGATTTGTATTCCATCAGATTGGATGTTATTGGTTCTTTTTGGAATTTTTTAGTGCTTCTTTTTCGCAGTTTAATTGCTTCTTGGCATTTGTTGTTGAACCAGGGTCTGTTTCGTTTATTTGGAGTTGTAGTCTTGGGAACACTGTCTACTGCTATAGAGTTCAGTGTTTCAGTGAAATACTCTATTGTGTCATTGTTTGACTCTTTGTGTATTAGTTTTTCTTTGCATTTTTTTCTTCAAATTTTTCCCAGTTAGCTTTTGTCTAGTTTCCAACGGGGCATTTTTTTCCCATTAGGCTGTGTGTTATTTAGAAGTATTGGGAAGTGATCACTACCACAAGTATCATCATGTACTTGCCAAGTGTAGTCCATATAGATAGATGGGTCACATATGGTTAAATCAATGGCAGAGGTATTCCCACTAAATTGGTTTATATGTGTTTGAGTGCCCGTGTTGAGTATGCATAGATCGTTTTTTGTTAACAATCCTTTCCAGGATTTTACCTTTTTTGTTTATTTCTTTGCATCCCCATATGATGTTGTGACTGTTAAAGTCACCCAATAAAATGAATGGCCTAGGGAGTTGCTGCAACAGTTGCTCTAATTGGTGTCGATAACCTGATCATGTGGGGGTATGTATATAGAGCATACTGTTATGGTGCGATGTAAAGTGGCTGATGCAGCTACAGCTTGAAGATTTGTGTCAAGATCTATTCTGCGTTGAGGGATCTTGTTATTAATTAGTATGGATGTGCCGCCTGAGGCTCTATCTGTATTATTATTTATATAGTTATATGAGGTAAAATTACAATTTTTTACATTGTCATTCTCTTTCAGAAAAGTCTCCTGTAAACATATTATCATTGGACATAGGTTCCCAATTAAAAGCAGTAGTTCATTTATGTTTGGTTTCATACCTCTTATGTTCCATTGGATGATTTTATTAGTCATGGTTCCGGTATTTTGATGTTTGATTACTTGTGGAGCCATGTTTT